AGTTAAGAATTAATTGTACAACCATTTCTTTAGCTCATAGCCATCCAGCTCCCTGGCACTACTTGTGTGTTAGCAGATGTAATTTTGCTTCCATGTGAAACATCTGGTTACTGAACAGAGGCAAGATATTTTAAAAAGTGTTTTAACTGTTTCCCCACAGGAAATAGAGTCCTGAAGCAGACGCAGTTCTGTGTAAAATGGTTTATGTGGCAGAGAAAAAGATTTAGGTGAAAAAGAGGGTCCATGATGTTCTAAGCATCAGGCTTTCTGTGACTTGTGGTCATCCAAGCCTGTTGAGTTTCATTCTCCACACCACCTTAAGAAGACCTGCCTCATTTCCCTTCTCCCAGTAGTGATCTTGCCTTCTGATTGCCCCTAGCTGCCTGAGAGCATGCACCATCCAAATGCAATGCTGAGGAAGTCCGTGGCATTGTAGGGCCACCATATTTCCTGTTGATGAAAAGAGAGGCTTTAACATTGTTTTTGCTGGCTGGCTTTTTTCAAAGTTGTACAGGAATCTTGAAAGGTCTGAAAAATCCATTCATAATGTCTGAAACTGTCACTTTTTTGTCTAGGATTATCAGAAGTCTTGCAAACTTCTGACAAGATGCAGCCTTTCTATAGCATTTCAGCACTACAATGTTTCAGCCCCTGTCAACGCCAGAAGAAATCACCAGTCAGACTACTTGCTAGATGAAATGTTATGGAAGATTCAGATTTACGTGAGTTTCAGGTTAGATTCTTTGTTACGTTCATGGCAAAGGGCTACAAAACTCAGAATGAGTTACAATGTCATGCATTATATGGCGTTGTCCGTCCATTAAAACATTTTACAGTACCTAATAGCTGTCATCCCCAATTACAAATGAGGAAGGGGAAGCATTAAGAGACTTGCCAAGGGTAACAAAACTTGTCACTGGGAAGAGCTGGAAACATGGCCTCGACCCACGAGCTCAGTGTTGCTCAGTGTCCTCCCATCACCTCCTAACAGTTCAGAGGGGAGATCCTAGCTCAGCTGAAGCTGTGGGAGTTTGATAGGTGACCTCATTGAGCCCAAAATATAATCTCATAGGATTATTCTGCCTTTGTTTAGATTATCCAAACTTCTCATGACAGTCAATCAGTCTGGACTCTTTAAATCAGTGCTTTAAAGTCCGGACTCTTTAAGGCTTTCTTTCTTCTTCTGTGCTGGGGCATATTTCCTTCAGAAGAAGGAAGCATCTTGTGCTTCATCTCAGCTGTGATGTGGCCTGTAGGTTGTATCTGCTTCACAGTCTAGACAGAAGCTGATTAACTCCACTGTACACACTGCACCAAAAATAATACTAAATAAACTTATATGTATATGTTTTAAAGTGCGTCAATTGTTTGATTCATCCTCTAGTATTTATTTTTAAAGAAAACGTGAAATTAGTAGAAGTTTCCATTGCTATATTGTCAATGAGTTGGTCAATGAGTATTACAACAAATATGAATGCCAAGGAGACAAACTCACAACCATAGCTGGGGATGCAAATAAACTTCTATTAACTGGAGCTCCAAAGATCAGCACAGCCTGCATTTCTTGGATCATATTCTGCTCATTTACTTCTTGAGGATTATAACTGAAAGTATCAAAAGATTTGAAGATGTGGAAGCAACTGTCTACTCATTTGTTTATTCAGTGCAGGAATATGTTTGCATTAGGCAGCCATCCAAAAGCAACTTCTATTAAAAGAGAATGGGTCACAGCAGGACACTTAAAAATGCCTTTTTTCAGTAGCATGCTGCAAGCACCCATTATTTCCAGTTGTTTTGTAAATGAATGAGATTTACTTTCTTATGTATTACTTACAACAAATAAAGTAGAAACAAAAGAAGTCTTATATAAGTGGAAAAATCACAGACATAAACAGATACATTTTCATTATATTTAAGTATTAAGTACTATTAGACAAAGTGATAGTGCCAAGTGAGTGCAGAAATCAAACAAGCTGCCATATTTAAAGAGCAATAAGAAAGCAAGTTAGTCAAATAAGACAAAAATAATGCTTTGTAGTTTGATATCTCAAAGGGAAGCATGACCTTTCCAAGATCATACAGAGCTGAAAGCCACCACCCTCATTCATCCTGAATTGCAGCTTGCTCTTAAATCAAAGCTACAGCCTATGTAAAGGAAACAGGAACTGAGATTAGGTTTAGGCTGCTAAACATGCAAACTTGCCTGGGTTTTTCTCCTGTTGCTTTTCATATCTTCCAGGTTAAAGCCAATGCATGGACAGCTCGTTAGCATGAGCTGGCTGGTGGGCAGCACTGTGTAAAGGCATGATAAATTGATTACATGTCAAAGGACTGAGGTTTTCATACAGCTGGGGGGCAGGATCAGGGTTTTTCACAACTGTCCTGAAGATAGATTTCTCTTTACGGGCATTTTAGCAAATCTGTGTAATCCATAATAGAGTTTTCTTGCCCTGCAGAATTGAAAATGAATGTGATAATCTGGAAGGTAATTAACTGACAGTCTTTCAAGAGGATGCTTATGTCATCCAATTTTTTATTTTTATTTTTTTTCTGGGCAGGTCTCTTATTTTTTTGGGATACTACCTACATTGGTCAAAAATTGCAGGGCATTAGGAAATCTTCAAATCTAAACTCTGTTTTAACTGTTGTTAGATGGTTGTGTCGGTTCTTATTTCCCTGTTCAACACTGGCTTGCTTAACCGGAGTGAAATCTTCTGCTCCTCAAGTATTATATATACTCGTCTCTTATTTGCTGTTTGGGAAAGAAGTGGAATTCTTATATGAATAACAGATAAGTGAGACCATATGTGGTATAATAGGTTGTATTCCCATTATGTTGCTCTTGGCACCTCTCGTATCCTCTGAGTAAGTATAAAACTGTGTCTCCCTTTTCCCCCTCCTCACAAGAACATAGACTCAGTTCTGCATTTGCCATTGTGCTGACTTCTAATGAGCCAAAAAAATCCAGTTACAAGCCTACCCTCAAGACTGTGTGAGTGCACCTCTTAAAAAGTGATTAATTTTAACATGGCTCACTAGGGTGTTTAGAGAAAGAGAGATGTCATGGTGTCTGGCCCTTTTGCTTGCTGGAAAGGCTAGGCATAAAATGCATTTGGGAAAGAGAAGTATGAGTGCATAAATCTGGATCAATTTGTATTTTTATCAATCTGCATTTTGAAGGAATTTTAAAAATCTAGTGGAGTGGTTTTGGAGATCTCCATCCGAAAAGTTGTTGAGGATTACACTTTAACTGGTGAAAAATCGGTACATTTAAGAACAAATTCACGGTGATACAAATAATCAGGACATTAGCATGGTATCAGAGGCATGAAACTGATGTACTTGCATTGTTTGTAAAACTTTAAAGAAACGTGCATGTAACCAAAACCGGGAGTAGACTGTGAGGGCCCAAACAGGGAAGTAAGATAGGTTGTCTTCTCCTTGTCAATGAATCAAGCAGCAGGATCTTATACTGGAGCTGAGAAGAACTGAAACAACTAAGCCACAGGATACAGAGTGCTATCTTAAGGATTGCATCTAATCCACAGCCACTGAAAAATGTTACGATCTTCAGAAGACCTTACTGAAAAATGATGTTGTTCTCCACATGCAGAATTTTTACTGGGAAGGGGGGGAGGAGGGTAGTAAAGAAAGGGGAGAAATCTGGTTTCCATTGGAAACATTTTAAAATGGAAATTTCCAACCACCTCTATAGTTAATGAGGAAATAGAACATTTTGTTGCAAAGATTTCATTGGGAAACAATTTCCGTTTTTCATCAGAAAGCTTTCCAGCCCGATTTTTCCAAGCGGCTCTAGTTGTCTCACATAGTGGCTGCTGGAAAGCTGGTGGAACAGATGGGGAAGAGCACAACTCTGCTGGCTTCCAAAGTGCAGCGTCCTGCAGTGGGGGAATTTCCCCAAGTGGGGGGCAGCAAGGGGATTAAGTGATACCCAGAGCAGTTCTGATTGCACTCATCGGAGGGCAGTGGTGCACAGAAGCATTGAGAAGCTCTGTGCTGTATCAAAGGGTCACACGACTTATTATACATGGCAGAAGGATCGTATCATGCACCAGTGAGATGGAGTCTGTTGTGGGCTGGAAAATAGCAATGGCTGGACCTCAAAAAAGGCTTAGTTTCAGCTTGGGATACCATAGAAAAGTCAACATTTGCTAACAGTTACCAGCCTACTGGTATCTGAGACACCACATTTTCCATTTATACTTAGAGCAGGAAGTAACTGTGGTCTTTTCATACACCACAGTGTGGTAATTTTTTCTGGCGAATACTCACTTTTTAATGATGACCACTATATTTTCCGTTGTGTGTGCTAGAGCTTTGTTTAAAGCTTAAGGCAGTTGCGATGCTCAGTGTTAATCATTCATCCATATGGAAATGTAAGTAACATACACTTCATCAAACACTTAGTAGAATACTCACATGGATCATATACGGATGGAGTAGAGAAAATTCACCCCTGACAGTCCCCCCGCAGTCCTTGAGCATACATCTTCTGTCTTCTAAGTCTGCTGATACAAGTTTCTTTCTAAATCATCCTTGTGGCTCTGACAAGATCAGACCAAGTCAAGATAAAAACAGCTACAGCTGTTCCCTTCCTTGCAGGTCAGATCTTTCTTCTTCACAGAGCAAAGGGCCTGTCTGTGCTGTCTGGTGTTTTTGAGGTCTGCATCCACAGCTGAAACTCCCACCCTAGCCAGCATTGCTGAGACTCAAACATCTCAGCAGAGTGATGCTGCAGGCCACAGCTGCTGGCCGAGTGACAGCACCAGCTCTTGCACAAAGTCCACTCGAGGGCACAACTCTACCTGTTAGCTCTATTTCAAGGGGTTTATGGCAAAGCTCTGGTGCACAGCAACAAGCCAGGGCCACTTACTTACCTTGGACATCTGGCTTGTGACACAATTTGCAAACATTTTTAGAAGCACAGTGAATAAGGTTAGGAGAATTTAGCTAGTTATTTTCATTTTTGCCTGCTACAGGTGCTGTGATCCATCAGCATAGCCAGGGCAAAGGACCACACCACCGAGCAGCTGATCGCACACTCGCAGGTATCTCTCTGTGGCTCAACAGAATACAACTGTTTCCTTTCCTGCAGATGAATGAAGACCTGATTTTATGAGTCCTCTGGTAAGGAAGGAAGCGGAAATTTGTCCTCACTTAGAGATGGAGGGGGTCTCAGAGTAGGGGCTATGCTCCATCCATGTGGCTGCCATATTGATATGATTTTGGGGGAGAAGTAAGCTGTGCTTCTAGAGAAACTTGAACCCTCCCTGTCTGGAGGGAGAGCCTTTTTTTCTCTGAGAGAGCAGACGCCACCAGTAACTGCTCACAAACACAGCGAGGGCTGTTAACCACTTCCCCCCAGCGGCGAAGTATTCCCAGCAATATCACCCATACCGCAGCCTATTTTGGGCTGCCCAGGGATGTGTGGTCCGTCCCGTATGTGCAAGAAAATGAGTTGGTGTGGCAGAAGGTCACGGTTGCTGGATAGGGAGCCCCTCACTGAGCTCAGTGAGCAAAACAAGCATCGAGCAGAGGTGGACAGGACGCTGAGTGGGAATACAGAAGCACCTCCTGGGTTTGCAGGGATGGAAACAGGAAGAACCAGCCTTGGCTGGAGTTAAACTGAGGAGGAATGTGAAGGGCAGCAAAGGCGTTTCTACAGGTACATCAGCAGCAGTCCTGTCTTGCACTTCAGAGAACAGATTTACCGTTGGGTGATGGCTAGCTGATCACAACCCAGAAGCTGTCTCTCACCAGGCAGGTTTACAAGGACTGCTCTCCCTTCTAGGCAAATACTGAAAGCCCAGATTCCACCTGGCTTGGCATTTTGAAATTAGAGGGAAAACAGCAGGGAACTTGCAAGGCTCACAGGAGAGGCAGGGAGAACTGCGCCCTGGGGCTCCTAGAAATGCAGGATTTGTCTTCAGCTTATGGAAGTTATATCTGTTTTATGGCAATTGAAGGACCTGACCTGTTATATTTATTCTGCAGATGACCTCTCTGACCTGCTGCTGTTTCTACTTTTTTAATGAGGTTCTCAAAAAACATTTATCTATTAAATCAGGTCATTAAAAAAATTACATTTCCTTCCTGAAGCCCATTGTGGTTTTTCTGTCTAAGAAAACTGGGACACACAACTATCATTTCCCATGTGCACAATCACAGAACAGTATCAGCAGAGACCAGGGCCATTTCTATAGATTGAACACTGTCCCTCTTCCCATCTTCAAGGTGCTAAATAAACAATAGTGCTCCAAAACCAGGGAACAAACCAAAGTGTGTCTTGTTAAACAAAACATTTCAAAGAAAAAGGGAAAACCTGCATTTTCAGTTGTCACCCCCCCCAATTATCTATTTGTCTGACTCTAATTGTGTTTGAAGCCCAGATTTAGGTCATAGTGAGTGTTTGTCTGTATGAGCAGAGGTAAGGTGACAGAGGTGACAGCTCTTCCAACAGGTCAATCTGGAAGACCTTCAGAAGACTCGGAGGCCTTGCAGCACGCTTGGAAGCTGAATGTATCCATTAACAGTGTTAATGGATACATCCCCAGCACAAGAAGGATGTGGAGCAGGTCCTGAGCAGGGCCACAAAGATGATCAGAGGGCTGGAGCACCTCTCCTGTGAAGACAGGCTGAGAGAGCTAGGGGTGTTCAGCCTACAGAAGAGAAGGCTCCAGGGTGACCTCATGGCAACCTTTCAGAACTTGAAGGGGACTTATAAAAAAGATGGGGAGCAACTCCTTGCTCAATCAGATAATGAGAGGAAGATGGGGAATGGTTTTAACTAAAAGAGGGAAGATTTAGATTAGAGGTTAGGAGGAAATCCTTCTCTCAGATGATGGTTGCCCAGAGAGACTGTGGATGTCCCATCTCTGGAGGTATTCAACACCAGGTTAGATGAGACCCTGAGCAACCTGATGTAGTGGGCAGCATCTCTGCCCATGGCAGGGCGGGTTGAACTAGGTGGTCTTTGAGGTCCCTTCCAACCCAAGCCATTCTGTGATTCCATGAATTCTTGTTGAAGCTGAGACTGTGTCAGGGTGATTACTTTTTGCACACCTCGTAGAGGACCTTACCTGACTGTGTAAGGCACACTTTGTGTGCCATTGCAGTCACCTCTTTCCCACCAACAGGTTGATCTGAATCACTGATGACACTGAACAAGCTGAACTGCCAATACCCTGTGGCTAATGTTCTGCTTCTTACTGCTGGAAGCACAGAAACAGATGTCCTGGGCTGGCCTGGCTCTGTTCTTCTGGTGCTTGCAGCAAACTTCACATGTGGCACATTGACATCATCCACCATGCAGATAAGATCTCCGCTGATGACTGTTTGGTCTGTTTTGGCTAAGACCAAAAAACATAGGCATAGATCCAATATAAAACGGCTAGCAAAGGTTGCACATATGACATCCCTGTTTGATTTAAGGTTGTTCTTCCATGTGGCAACAGGTTGTGAGGAGAGAGGCAATGCCTCTGTGACTTAACACTTTCATATTTTCCACTTGGTCTGTTTACAAGAGGCAAATCAATAGAGAATTTGCAAAGCTGTGAGGAGGCTGTAAAATTTTACAGCCATGACCACACTACATATGAGTGACAGAAGCACTGGTGAATTATGCAGCTTATGCCAAATAAGCAGTGATAAAACTTTTATAGCCCCATCACACATTTTGTATGTGTCATGTCTTTGCCTGGTTTTGTTAGTTTTGTTCTGTTTGTTTGCTTCTTTTAATTTTTTATTGAAACTAATTTGTTGCTATAGAAACAACTATATGCATTAAATTGGGTGGAGCACCCTTCTCTGAGGATGTCTCAAATCAGTTTATCATTTAATTTTAATGATGCATTGTAACAGTTTCTGCAGCAGTGTCATTTCATTGTTGTTTCATCCTTCCCTCCAAGGCCCCTTTTGTTTCTCCCACCTACGTGCTTTCTCCTGCAGTATGAACACAGTGAGCTGTTTTGGGCATGAGCTTTCTTCATTTACTCTGTCTTTAACCAGCCTTTGAACATCCTCAAATGTAGTGGTGAACTAATCCTTAATTACAGCAATTTAGTCATAAAGAACTCAATTTTCCCCATTTTGCTTGGTCAAGGTGTACAAAAGATGTACAAAAAGGTGAAATTAATTCCATGTAGTCATGCAGTTGAGCATTATTAGAGATGGATTTCATACTGAAACAGATACAGATAGGTAGATTTATATATATACATATTCCTCCTTCCCCTCCTGCTCTTGTAATGCTGTATTTACAGATTTTCTAGTTTCAGAGGAGGCCAAGTTACCCTATTGTTACTTCAGTTTTGTTTTTGGTGTAAAAAACTCACTTGGTACTAATCTGGATGATCGTCTAAAAGATAAACTGAGTGTGAACTCAAGGTTAAATTGCAATTTTAAGACTGCTACCATGTGATTTGGACCTGAATTTCTTAGTACAGCTGCTGCCAGGCTGAATGTGGATTTTGGAAGGACAGTTATATTCCTTTTGGGGATTATACTGGAGTCAATTCCTTGTTTGCCAAAGATAAGTCTGAAATGATGGCAAACATTGAGTCTCACTCTTTAAACATCTGAGGGTGTGTGCTATACATAGAAACTCAGGTCTCGGGGACAGGGATTATTTTAAAAAGGGGTGAGCTGTCATTGACAATACAAAGGCATTGTATTTATCAAACCTCTGTACTCAATGGGAATGAAATGAAGCAGAATGAATTTTCTCCCATTTTTAGAGATGATTCTTTAGGAGATGGAACATGATGACTGTTAAACAGCATTCAGCAAAATAAATCTGTGCCCCCCTCCAGTTCTTTTATGAATGGTGAACAGTTCCATCAAAGTCAACAGTCATTTTCATTGTGTATAAAAAAACAAAGAGTGAAGATACATTTTTGTATTTGCATTGAGTTGGTTGACTTTGATTTGAGACAGAGATTTACCAGGTTTAAGACAAGGCATCTTTATTGTGATTCCCTTCCTTTCCACAGTGCAATTTCAAGGAATGAACCAGAGAGGTGTAATGTGACCAACAGTTTGGGAATAGCTTCACTGCTGCAGTTATCATTGCTGTGGTCCAAGGACCTCTCCTGCAGACTTGTGATACAGTGAGCACTGGGTCATGTCTCTAGTACAAATGAAGCATCTTTTGTCCCAGCATGGCCTACCCTTGGGAACGAGAGACGGAACAATGAAAAATTACAGGTTGCTGCCCCATTGCCAATCTCTGTATGAAGAGCCATGGTATATTTCTTGCTCATGCAATGCTGGGTTTTATCCAGCCCTGCCATCCTGCCAAGTTAGTCACACTATGTACAGCTTGTAAATGTTTTGAAACTGTGAATGATATGTTTCTGAATAACTGTGAACATTTTAACGCATATTTCTTTAAATTTTTCCACAGATGGTTTGGAGGTTAGGCTGTGATTTATCAAATATTGGGATTACAAGGGGTTCTTTATAATCACAGCAAATCAGAATATTGTTTTGAAAACAAGCAAACAAAAAACAACCACCACAAAAACTGATCTTTCTAGCATTTCTACACTATTGTCTTCAGATAGATGGAGTCAATTTTGTTATCATTTGGAGCTAAGAAATTCCAAGGCTGGTGAAACAAATATTTAGTCTTGTAATTTGTTGTCTTCATTTTGTTGGGATTATATTTCCTTGGATATGTGATGAATCTAGCATTAAACCTGTATGAAATACCTAATAATGAACAGGTAACAATGGGAATTGTTGCTCAAAGCAGAGCGACTCATGGTGAGATGCTATGGTGGCCTCTGGGAAATGCTCTGCACTCTGGCAGCCAGCATGGCTGCTCATGGATGTTCCCAGCTGGGAAGCATTTGGGGTCTGTGGATAAAGGACTGGAGGCACAGCACACATCACCGCATGCTGCTGCTCTTGCCAGCCCACTTGCAGACATCTCATCTGCGCCGTAGCAACATTTCAGCACTCTTATCTGTCAGCTCTCCCATGTCGTTTCCCTCACAGGGAGTGTTTTCCCTGTTATTTCCAGCCCTGCTGTCTTGGTGGGATGTGGCTGCGAAGCAAAGTGCATGGTCATGGAGACCAGTGCTGTTGATTTCGCCATGGTTTTGTGGAAGCATGTGCTTCTGGGT